TAAGCAAAGCGTCTAAAGACTGACTTGTGAGTCTAGGCCAGCACTGCCTGACTGAGAAGCCGAAGGAGAGGAGCAAGAGGCGCTTCGCTACTACCCCGGCACTACTGCAGCATAACAAAGTCCCACTCTTTGAGCATAATGCAGCATCATGCATATGCAGCATCACGGGAGACGGAATCCTCGAAATTCCTACACACTGTGGCTTTAAAGATAAAAACAGTGACTGGCCAGCTCACTCAGTGTAAAAGTTCATAGTACAGGCAGGCAGTCCAAAAATCCATCCCAAGCACTCTAACTGCAGTTTAAAATCCTTAATTAGTACATGGATAAACCAGTGTGTTTCAACTAAAGAGTCTTCATCAGGGTGTAAAATGCATTGGAAACAGGTGTGCAATTTAAGAGCTCATGTGAGGGTCATGTGACACAGGTCACAACATATATTGGTGTTGCCCTACTAGACAATAAACCACATTGACAGATATTGCAAATGAAAATGACATAAAGGCATACTATCAATAATTAAGATATATAGTAACAAGAAAAAAGGTTCAATGCCAAATAAAAAGTAAACAGTGAAATAAAATAAGAATGGTTATATATTGTGACAAACCTGCACATAAAATGGCAGAAACTGAAACATATAAAATATGTATGTACAGTACAGGCCAAAAGTTTGGACACACCTTCTCATTCAATGCGTTTTCTTTATTTTCATGACTATTTACATTGTAGATTCTCACTGAAGGCATCAAAACTATGAATGAACACATGTGGAGTTATGTACTTAACAAAAAAAGGTGAAATAACTGAAAACATGTTTTATATTCTAGTTTCTTCAAAATAGCCACCCTTTGCTCTGATTACTTCTTTGCACACTCTTGGCATTCTCTCCATGAGCTTCAAGAGGTAGTCACCTGAAATGGTTTCCAATTCACAGGTGTGCCTTATCAGAGTTAATTAGTGGAATTTCTTGCTTTATCAATGGGGTTGGGACCATCAGTTGTGTTGTGCAGAAGTCAGGTTAATACACAGCCGACAGCCCTATTGGACAACTGTTAAAATTCATATTATGGCAAGAACCAATCAGCTAACTAAAGAAAAACGAGTGGCCGTCATTACTTTAAGAAATGAAGGTCAGTCAGTCCGGAAAATTGCAAAAACTTTAAATGTGTCCCCAAGTGGAGTCGCAAAAACCATCAAGCGCTACAACGAAACTGGCACACATGAGGACCAACCCAGGAAAGGAAGACCAAGAGTCACCTCTGCTTCTGAGGATAAGTTCATCCGAGTCACCAGCCTCAGAAATCGCAAGTTAACAGCAGCTCAGATCAGAGACCAGATGAAGACCAGATGAGTTCTAGCAGCAGACCCATCTCTAGAACAACTGTTAAGAGGAGACTGCGCGAATCAGGCCTTCATGGTCAAATAGCTGCTAGGAAACCACTGCTAAGGAGAGGCAACAAGCAGAAGAGATTTGTTTGGGCCAAGAAACACAAGGAATGGACATTAGACCAGTGGAAATCTGTGCTTTGGTCTGATGAGTCCAAATTTGAGATCTTTGGTTCCAACCGCCGTGTCTTTGTGAGACGCAGAAAAGGTGAACGGATGGATTCCACATGCCTGGTTCCCACTGTGAAGCATGGAGGAGGAGGTGTGATGGTGTGGGGGTGTTTTGCTGGTGACACTGTTGGGGATTTATTCAAAATTGAAGGCACACTGAACCAGCATGGCTACCACAGCATCCTGCAGCGACATGCCATCCCATCCGGTTTGCGTTTAGTTGGACGATCATTTATTTTTCAACAGGACAATGACCCCAAACACACCTCCAGGCTGTGTAAGGGCTATTTGACCAAGAAGGAGAGTGATGGAGTGCTGCGGCAGATGACCTGGCCTCCACAGTCACCGGACCTGAACCCAATCGAGATGGTTTGGGGTGAGCTGGACCGCAGAGTGAAGGCAAAGGGGCCAACAAGTGCTAAACACCTCTGGGAACTCCTTCAAGACTGTTGGAAAACCATTTCAGGTGACTACCTCTTGAAGCTCATGGAGAGAATGCCAAGAGTGTGCAAAGCAGTAATCAGAGCAAAGGGTGGCTATTTTGAAGAAACTAGAATATAAAACATGTTTTCAGTTATTTCACCTTTTTTTGTTAAGTACATAACTCCACATGTGTTCATTCATAGTTTTGATGCCTTCAGTGAGAATCTACAATGTAAATAGTCATGAAAATAAAGAAAACGCATTGAATGAGAAGGTGTGTCCAAACTTTTGGCCTGTACTGTATATGTGTGTAATATTCATAAAGTGTATAACTCATGATAACTAACCAAAGGATATTACAGTAGGGATAAATTGATTTTTTGTTACTGTGGGTTTTTCAGGGTCACGTGGTGAATGGACTTTCTGGACTCTCCTCGCTGAGTCAGCTTACGCAAATTCAGCTGAACTTTTACTATCGTTTTTGAGAGAGTTTGCTTATGTTTGGGAATTACTAGGTCTTAAAATGTTTCTGTTGGTTCTGCCATATTTGCTGCTGCTCATTTTTATCTGGCAAGCCACTCACTCCCTGGAAGATATCCAGTTTGCAGGACTCATGGCATCAACTAATGCATCTTTATCAGCATTAAAGAGCAGCTCACACTATGTCATGTCTGTTTATGCTTTTAAAAAACAGTGAAGAAAGAGAAAGAATGAACACCCCTTAATTCCTATATCAAATGAGTACATGTTTATGCCTTACGTAACAGAAATGAGTGTGATTTCTACTGATAGCAGTGATTAATGCACCACTGAGACATGACTCCTATAAAGTATAACATCACGCATGATTCCCAGTTCGTGATTCATTTTCACAAAGACACATTAGATGAGACTTGCCAGTGCTTGTCTGTCTGTCTAAAGTGTTTCATTCAATTCCACACTAACACATGAAGTGCCACAGTGAACGATTTAAATTCCTGGCAACAAAAGACAATCTGTTTCTGCAGCCTTGCAGCACATGTCACGCTAAATGACTTTTAACCAGCTTTAATAATATCTGGGGAGGAATGTTAGCATGTTGGGACTTAACACGCAGAGTGGTAATTGTTATCACCGCCAATACTTCTCCAATGGGTTGTTTATGTTAGAGGAAAATGGTTTGCTGATTGTTGTGGAAAGAAATGCTGGAATTTTAAGTGTTATTTAGGGTTCATCTATTTATTGACGAGTATGGTTTCCATAGTAACACAATGGACACAGATGAATGAGATCAGTTTTTACATACAGACGTTCTTACCTTCATGAGATGCTGGTTTATCCATTTTGTAAATGTCTTCTTCTGCACTCTGTCTCTTTCATCTGAGGAAGAGAAAAAAGAAAAGCAGTGAGTTTCTGTCACTATAAAGCAATCACCACAGAGGTGTTTGGGCAACACAAATCTCTTTTGAAGAAGGCTGTCATTAGAGAACCTAATTCCCCTTTTTATAAGTCTGTTATGGAGCCTATTATGTTTAGTGGTAACTGAGAACGGAGGCGAACGAGGAAACAGCAGCTCTTCTCTAATGGGTTAACAATTAAATTCTCCTCACTCAAGTTTGGAAGCATTTAGCAGTTCATTTTTGTAGAGTGTTAAACCTTATAATATTGCTTGCAACAACATTCAACATACTCATAAAGTTATTTTTATTATAATTGTTTTGACCATGGACAACAGGGCTGGGCTACCCCAAGACTGAATCTGACACATAACATTAGCTGAGGGTTAACTTAGTCGACTCATTTAATGCTAATGCTAATGTAGCGAGTTATTGTTATGTTAGCTGTTGTAACTTGCCACTTGCACCGGGCAATACTTTGATATTATATTAATACTGTGATATGGGATCAGATATTGTCTTAGATTCTGGATATCAAAATATTGTAAGTGTCGTCTTTTCCTGGTTTTAAAGGCCGCATCGCAGTAAAGTTGTGCTAAAGTCCAAGACTGGTAGGGTCGACCTCTCAGGTGGCGGCACCAAGCAAGCCTCAGACAGGCCGAACGGACTTTGCTTTGGGTTAACAGGCATGTTTCCTCGCCTTTTCCTGTTTGCGTCAGTGTCCAACCAGTAAGTTCTATTCTTCTTCACTAATGTTGAGCCTGAAAATGGACTTTAATTGATAAACTCCCGCAGGAGTTAACAGACAACATTAGCATGTTTAAGCTGTGGCTAATCACACCTCTGTTTGTTTAACACCTGCCACATGGTCGGCGGGTGTTTGATGTTAATACTTTGAGCACTTGAGTGTTTCTAAGTGTAGCATTCATATTAATGGGATTGTTGGTTTGATTATTATTGTTTAAGTTTCCCCTGTTAATAACCGTATCAGCAAAATCTAGTGAAATTGTTGAAGTATAACCTGATGCATGTGTGTTTTATTTCCTATGTGTTTCAGACCACACACACCTGCATTTGAAATCTCTCACATTGGGTGTACTGTACTGCTGTGCTGTGTTAATGAGCCATTAAATGGTCAAATCTACATCCTGTCGCCTGTTTCTGTGTCCTGACCAACACCTTAGAGCGAGTGCAATCCGAAATATTCTTCAACCAGTTCCAACTATTTTTCAAAAGTGATGCAAGCTCCTGAGCTTACCAGACTGTTCTAGCTCGTCTCTACCCACTTAGTCATTACTGATGGTGATTTATCAAAAATACCATTGTGTAAATATTTTGTGAAAGCACCAATAGTCAGCCCTCCAATGTTGCTGCAATATCAATGTCAAGGTACTTTGTCAAAAGCACTGCGGTATTTGATTGTCTCTCATCTCTATGTGCAGTGTTATTTTGGGATTTATAGTTTCAGTGAAAGTGATGTAAAAAAGTAAGGATGAATATGAAGACCACAAATCCCAATGGCTCCAAAGACGGATGTCATTTCCCAGAGGCTGAAATGACATAACTCTCTCCTGCATGCCACATTAAGTTTTTTTCCTATTACCATGGCAACCGGACTTCCTGCAGCCAGTCAAGGAAGCTATAAAGAAGGACCAGTCATGATGACAGTGACAGAGTTCGAGGCGCCAGACTCTGGTGTCAGTCGTGTTGGAGTCAATGTGGCGGGCACTGTAAATCACACTGCAACCCATCATATCTCTGTTGTTTCAACTTTGATTGAAAAATACTTTCACCAGATTATAAAACAAACATTACGTGATGCTTACTTATTTTTTTTATCTAAATGTGCATGTTAACTTTCTAGTTATTGGTCTCCCAACAGATCATAGCTCTGAGATGCAGCTGACTGACACTGTCACTGTCATCATGACTGTTCCGTTTTTTATAGTTTACTTGCGGCCAGTATGTGAAACCAGGACGCAAACGGATGCAATTAAAAAGGAAAGGGAAACTGAGTAGCAGGATGCAAGATTAACTTTTTTTGTCCGCCGGCCACATGGCTAGTTAATGCTCACATTTTACCAGCCACTTAGTAGATTACCATGGTTTCTTGGCTGATGACTGAAACAAATGTACCCGCTACATGCAGATGTTACAAGCATTTAGATAATAGATGGTGCTAATTATGTACCCCGAGGAGAAGTAGTATAATAAAGAAAAAGAAAAACTACACTTGCATTATTATGTTTCCTTGTCAACACAAACAACTTGTAATTTTCCTTGCTTCCATCCTTCCTTAACATTGGCCTCCATCCAGTGTCAGAGCAGAGCAGGACTCGGGCCAGTCACCACAGTTGTGACTCATTTCCCTGCTTCCACGTCTCCCAGTCTGCCTGACACAACTCACAGTGAGCACCAAAAAACTCACAAGCACGGTCAACAGCACTGACAGCGATCTGCCGGCTTGGTCACATTCACTCCACTGCTAAGGACAACAACACCGTGGACGATCAGTACTTTGACCACAGGACAAACAGCACAGATAACCTCCTCCCTTTAATAACCTCAGTTACAGAACAAGTTTAGCTCAAGGATATCTTGCCTACAATTACTAATGAGCGAGCACAGACTTGACTAACCTAACAAGGAAATTACAAGAAGAACAAGGTAAATACTGACCCATGCAGCACATGAGAGTTACCAGGTGAGCTCTACGCTCCCTCTCTGCCTTAAGCAAGTACTTCATCCTGTGAGCTAGCTCCTGAGGGCTGTCGAGAGGATCGTGGTTCAGGTAGACGGATGCCATGTGGATAAGCGACTGAGGAAGTACTAACAGTCTCCCTCTTTTTTGCCTGCCTGCCTTTCCAGCCTCTAGGGCAGCCGTGACTCTCTTTCTCATCAAGCATCCAGAACGAGTCCTGTCAGGTTTTCCATGGCTGCTCACTATTTTGAGTTTCCACGCGGTTTTGTGTTTATCTAGCAGCGGCGCTCTAAACCACAGAAAAAAATCTGCCCTTCTTACAAAAAAAGGAAAAAAGAAGAAAAGTTCCTTGTTAGCATGTTTCCAATTGGGTCCAACTCACAGCACCACAGCAGGATACAGCCGGTTTGTTCAAGCTGCAATCACAGAGCCATGCACCATTGCTTCAAATGACAGCATGCATCACTTGATTAATGCAAAAAACTCTTATCTATGTATCTTGAGTGACCGTACAGACCTTGATTTTTAAGGTTGCAAACATTTCCAGATAATTATCTCTCTATTGTGCGGCTGCCAAGACTCACCACAATGTTTACATCAGCAGAAACCGCTGAGAACACATCCAGGCAAATAACAATCAACACCCTTCATGATACGACATGAAAAATACCAAATAAGGACGAGCTGTCTCTCCATGCAAGTTATTCAGCTTGGAGTTTTTTGTGGAATCTTACTTTTTTTGTAAATTATATGGAGCATACCAGTTACATAAGACAGCTACAGAAAATAAAAGTGCTCCTGTCCTCGGGTGCAGGACAGTGAAGCAAAAATCTACAGTAATCATCATCTTGCAAGCCTTACTCTATCAGAAAGTATGGATGTCTGTAAACTCAACAGATAACAATTAAGAGTTCTTAATGACATCATATCCCATGCATTTGATGTTTGCTGCCATAGTTTATTCTAACATACTGTCGGCTTTTGAATTATAAGTCTGAAACATGCATTTCCAGACTAACAGCGGTAACTTAAAAGCCCTGTGACTGTACTCTCTGCAGATTCTTACAATTAGTTCATCTAAAAATAGTGCGTGTGTAAAAGCTGCAGAGAATTGGAAAGTGGGTTGCTCTGACAATTATTTTGTGTGATGATCCACACATCTAGATCAAGATCTGACATGAGGCCACACATCACATAAAGGTAGCGGCCCATCAGCCTATCACATCCGAGTCTTCCTGAAACATCACTCGTCGATAAAAGAATCCCTGCAGAAAGCAGTCTGTCAGAGCTGCTGTGTCATTGCTGATCTGTCCCTGTGACTCCGCAGCTGAGTTACAGGAATAATGCAGTCTGCAGTAGGACTCCAATTTGGTTTGTAATGCCTGTATCTAAGCTCTTTGCTGCATAATATATAAACCTCTCCAGAGAAAACTCATTAATATAGATTGGCTGAGCTTTCCAGGAAACTCTGCAGCTCAGAGCAAAAGACGGAAGATGAAAGAGGGCATCGTCAACCAGCTAGCAGACGTGGTCAGCAATAACTGTACTTCACATACTGCGCAGATTACGGATAACAGCCCCACTTAACAGACTCAGATCAGCATCAGCCACAGTCAGGTGGTGTGAAAACCAGTTTCAATCATCTCTGCTCTTCATGTTGAAGCAGCACTAGTGAGATGGTTTGAATATGTTATGAGACAGGTTATTTCTGTACCTGTGCCTCCCAAAAATGAGGGTGTGTGTTTATGGTGCCCTCTGGAGGATCTTATGCGAATAAAAAGTGAACTTGAACTTTGGTTTGTTATTAGTCCGAAAGACACTGACCTTTAAAACAGTAGTTGTACACTATCTGGTCAGAGCAGGAATGCAGTTGTAAAGATTAATAAAGATCAGATATCAGACAGAAAAGAAACAGCTCTGTTACCATAACAATAACAATGGCATAATGTCACACTGAATACCATATGAGCTTTTCTCCTGATGCTGCACAACTTTATCAGCTCAATCAATTTCATTCTACTTATCACATCTAATAAATTAAGCGATTATAAGACTGACACATATTTGATTTTACATAAAACTGGTACAACAGCTAATCATGCAGATAGGTTATTTATTACTGAAAAGCTGCATCTGCATCCTGTCTCATTATTTAGATTTCTTTTTGTTTCATATGTCTATTTAACATCATATTACCCATTCAGCTTCACCAGCAAGCCAAAACAGCATCTCTAGCAAGGTAATTCTGGCATGTAACTGCAAGTTTAACACAAACTACATTA